ATTTGCTTTATATATAAGAAAGTTTAATGGTAAAGATGGAGCGTGGTTTAGTTTTTCTAGAGGTAAAGATAGAAAGGTATGGAAATTTGATAGTTCTAGCACTTATTCATTTCATTCAAGTTGCAAATTTCTAAATAGCTTATCTATTTTAGGGGCTCCTTTTTTTGTTTTGCTTTGGAAAAGTTATACACCTCCTAAAATTGATGTGTTCATGTGGCTCTTATTTAATAATTATTTTAGCATTCTGGGATTTTTTAAATGAGATGGGAATTATTAATTACAAGGATGCTTTTTGTCATTTTGTTGTGATGGGATTGAGGCTATTAATCATTCGTTTCATCACGTGGAATTTTTTTGGTAAATTCATGCATTGGTTCAAGTGTTTAAGTTGTCTATACAAGGACAATTTTTAGGAATGGTATAGGTCGGTTAGAGACAATTTTTAGTGTCATGCTATTATTCTTCTTTGTGGAGTCTTTTATTGGTCTATGTGATTAGTTTGTAATCGACTTGTCTTCGAGCCCAAGATTCCTAATTGGAATGTGATATTTTATCTTACCTTATACCGTTTGATCTTTCAGTTGAAATCCCTAATTAGAAACTTTATTTATTCAGGTTTTGATCTAGTTAGAAGTCTTAAATACATTTTAAACTTGTCTAATTAGTTTGGTTTTTGTTTGTTTGCTTTTTTTCTTGTTTTTAAGATACTCATACTGCAAGTTTTTAGTCTTTCAGTCACCATCTTCTTAATGGTGCTATTTTAATTTGATTCAACTTGATTACTATTAAAAAAGAAAAGAAAACGATGTAAAGGGTGGAATTGCATGTTTCAAGATTAGTTGGGTCACCCGTGAAGGCATGGTATAGTTTAGTTATCGAGCAGCACGAGTGTGTTCCTCACAAATTTTTTTATTTATTTATGAAAGACTGTATGTCTTATAAATGTTGTCAAAGAGCGTTCACGTAGTTCAAAAACAAGTGGAAACACTTGGATGGAACGCCCTCTATCAGAATACATGCAGCATCCCTCTCCAGAATTAGCAGCTAGATTTTCCAAGTGATAAGCTTCCAGTTCCATGAATTTGGCAAAAAGAGCTTGATAAACAGAGGATGTCTTCAGCTATCATCCCATTTCTCGAATTAGTATTCCACGTTTCCCTTGTATGAGCTAGATTGCCTTTAGTTAATATTCTTAGTGTGTGTGTGTTTGATGGGAGGGGTACAGCTTTATTTTTAAAATAAAAGGAACATATTCTGTTGTTTTTCCCCTTGAGATAATAATTATATACTATCCAAGTAATTATAATTAATTTTCTTTCCTTTTTTTTTAAATGAAAATAGCATCATTCTCTCCCCATGAAAGAGGGTGAAACATTTGGGAAGAATAATTAACTATTAAAAAAAAACCCTGTAATAATACTGCCTCGAAAGAAAAGAATACTGGTCAAACCTCTACAATTCCACTACTGACATGACAACATTAACTTTTAATTTACATAAAGTGTAATTAATTAATTAATTAATGAAACGAACAAACGGCAATTAATTAATGGCGAGGCAGGGGCAGGGACGGAGGGCGGCAGAGAGATAGAGGAGGCACGATTCAGCCCAAAAAGGCGAGCAGCAAAAGTGGTCAAAGAAGCACGAGACCAGAAAAAAGCGTAAGTTAGTACTGTGCGTGGATGTAGTCAAGCCAAGACCCAAGATAACAGGTCAAAAGTTATGAAAGGCACGCTCCCCGGTGGCCCCACGGGACTTCCCTCCTTTTTAATTTATACCTTTTTTTATTATTATTAAGTATAAAAGAGGGGTGTTCTCACTGTTTCAAAATTATTCTTCACATCTAACTGCGGGTTGAAGTTTAAATTTTTTTAAAAAAATTAATATGATCCTTGAACTTCTTTTATATAAATATATAAATATATAACTGAGCCGGCATCCAATTGCATATTTTTTCTAAGATAGAATTTTAATAAATGATTAAAGTAAAAACTAAGGGTAAAATATATGTTGCCTTTTAATTTTATTTAAAAAGTATATTTGAATCCTTATATGTTTTTTAGCTATTAGATGATTCGTCCTTTTAGTGCTAGAAAAAATTGATTTTAGTTTGGAGTTAACTGAGTCTATTTGATTTAATCAGTTTTGGTATATTCAAGATTAATCAGGTTAATTAATTTAATTTTATAGTTATATTTTGATTTCTAAACATAGAGCTTTAATTCTTTATGTTATTTTATTTTGAGTTATTTTTTAGTATTTTTTATATTTATTATAGATTCTACTGATATTTTTATTAATAATCTTCAATTATCTCTAGTTCTATATCCATTTGTCTTTTTTGTTTTGTTTTTTGCACGTGTATGTTTCATTTCTTATACTTATAAATAACTAAAATATATATTAAACATTATTCCCTCGTTATTTGATTAAACTCAACCTCTTCATTTTAATATTATTTTAGGTTCTTAGCTTATGTTGAAGGTTGTCATTTTATTGAGAGTTCTTGCTACTTTATTTATTGATTTGTCTTACTTGCTTCCTCCATGCTTTTCTTATTCTCGTTTATTTAATATCTTAGATGCTTTATTATTATTGTATTATTATTCAAGTTTAGATTTTTATTTCAAAGATTAGATTTTATTAAATGTAATAAGTAATTTGAATCATAAATTGTTTTATTAGTTTTGAGAGATATTTAAAAGTTTATGAAATACTATGTGTAATGTGTGTGTGTGTGTGTATGTTACATGTACATATGTATGTTTTGAGGTTTACATTATTAAGGATTTCTTGTGATACCACTTCTACATTGCTAGTTACGGACCTATGATTCGGGTCATGATAATCATCTTAAATTATTTTTAAAAGTTAACTCATATGTTTTATTGGTTATCAAGAATGTATTTGAATCCATAAAATTAATTGATATAATTCGAGCTAGCTCCTATATGTTTTAATTGGAAACTCAAGTTAGATAAAAATCTAAGTTATGAGGTTTTAAAATTGATCTATTTAGCCAAGTTTAATAATATAGTCAAGAAAATTCTTGGTACCCTTAATATTTAAAAAAAAATTAAAAAGTTGATTCAAACCATGGTAGAGCACAAGACAATATAATAGTATATTAATGATATCCACAGTTTATCATTTATAAATTTAGTCTCAACTTACACGTTCCTTCTCAAATAATTTTAAAACGCATATTTTACATCTATTTAATATGTAACACAAACTGAGTTACCATCATAAATAAATTAATAAACATAGAATTATTGGCAAGAAAAGATTGCACATAAAAAATTTTAAATTCATAGTTTTTATTTTTGAAAGATAATTATGATATATAGCCGACTTCCTATAAGGTATACAAGTTTTTAAATAAGATACAAATAGACCCTTCCAAAATAGAAAAATCATAATCTAAAAAAAAGAAGGAAAAAACAGTATAAAATTCAAAATTAACATAAAATACAAGGAAAAAACAGTATAAAATTCAAAATTATTATGGAATACCAAAAAAAAAAAATCAAGAAAAAATAACAAAACTTGCTCAGATGGTTTCTTCGGGATCTAATTAGGAGGTCTTATGGAGGGGGCTATTGAAGGTGCGTTGACCCCACAATATAATTGGGTTTTAATTTGAGAATTACTTGGAAAAGTTTGAGTTTGATTAATTATTGAATCGAAATTTATGATTTTAAAACTAAGCTATTAGATAAATCTTCATCCAACTTTGATAAATTTCTATCTCATTGCTTAAAAACTTTTATTTTTCTTGGCACGGCTACATCTATATATCTTTAAAAATTAATAATTTTTTCTTAAATTAATTATGCCTTGAGTTCGAATACAAGAAATCAAGTAATCAAGCATACCTCTTTAACACATCAAATCAACCTCTTAGATTTAGAACAATTAAAACTCAGTTGTTGAATAAATTATTCTAAGTAGCCATAAAATATTTGTAAAAATCTGATAGTTTTATGCAAATATATCACTCATGATGGACGGACTCCATGAGATTAAAATTACCAAACAATTGATAAATTAAGCTTCTTCTTCTTCTTCTTCTTTTAACTGATAATTACGACTCATTATTAAGAATGTTGATGGCAAGACGTAGATGACGGGCTACGAGTAAAGTTCGCCATTAATTATCTTTTGATTCTTAAATAAATATGGATGAATCTGATCTTACATCTCTGCCAAATTCTTTTACCAATTAATTCTGTCAAACACGTCGCAGTTTTTAGTCTGTAGTAATCTTATTTATTTATTTTTCATTTACAATACGAATCAAGCATATGTTACAATTCTGAGAGCATGCTATTTTCTCTAAAGTTTTTTTTAGATTAATTTATATGTTAATCCGATTAAGCTTTTTACTAAATAATCTTTAAGATGTATTCTTATAGCAGTAGGATGTATTGATAAAAATTTATTAAATTTTTCTGATTGTTGGCTTTAATGTTTAAATTTTAGACATTGTTTGGTAGCCCGATCAATCATCTAGTTTGATCGTGTGGTTGGCTGCAAGGAATTGTTTGTCTCAATGATTGAATCACTGTTTTTTTTTTTTAAGAATTATTTTAAATTAATTTTTTAAATAATTTTAAATGCAAATATTAAAAATAAATTTTGAAAAATAAAAAAAATGTTATTTTAATATATTAAAAAACACTTTAAAACCAAACACCCTCTAAACATTCACTTAATCGCTAATATTAAAATTTAAAAAAAAATAGTAATTTTTTTCTTTTTTTCATCTAAACATTCCAGCAAAAAGAGACCGATATCTTTAAATTTCCCATTTCAAGAAACAGGATATTATACGACTGCACGTGTGGTGCACAGTTGCCAATGGTTTGAAGGTACTGTTCAATGTCATATATATATATATATATATATATATATATATTTATTTTT